AGCCTGGGTTCTACGTGGAGGACCTGTTCGTGAGGGAGTGTTACAGGAGGAAAGGTATGGGGAGAATGCTTCTCTCGGCGGTGGCTAAGCAGGCGGTGAAGATGGGTTACGGCAGGGTCGAATGGGTTGTTCTTGATTGGAATGTGAATGCCATCAATTTCTATGAGCTGATGGGTGCTGAGGTGTTGCAGGAGTGGAGGATTTGCAGGTTGACTGGTGAGGCTCTTCAGGCTTATGAGAATGCTAACATGTAAGATTTAAGAATTCTGGGTTTATTAGGACTTAAGTAGGATTTTGTTCGGATTATGAGTTTTTTTATCTTTTCTCTGGGAAAATCTGAATATGTTTGGATGAATCTGGGGACAGATTACAACTGGGTAAGTAATAGGATTACATATTCTGTTGAAGCTGATTTTGATCAGTACTATTTTCTGTTTTCTGCTACTAGTAATTGCAAAATCAAACTCTTTTAACATGAAATCAAATGCCTGGGGTTGGAAAAAGTCTTTCTTTTTATTATTATTTGCTTCCCTGTTGATCTGGATTTTGGGTTTTTTCTGTTCTGCTACTGAATCTGAACTTGATTTGATCTGGGTTTTTCAGGGTTTTGTAGTGTTGAATTGTTGCTAGCAAAAATCAATCTGGATTTCTCTTTGATTAGATGTTTGGCCAAGAAAGAAAGAATTGCCATTTATAATCATGCTTCAAAATCAAGTTTCTTTCTTTCACCAGAAACTCAATGGATAAGTTTTGATTTGATGGCTTCACTTGATTATGTTTCCTCTTTTGCTTTATTTACTTTCCTAAATGCATTTTGAAGGGCTTCTCCTTTGCACAAATGCATAATTAAGGGTCTAATTTTTTAGTATTTTCAATTAAGTAATCTTAAATTCTTTGTTTAATTTTTAATCAAGGGTCTAACTTTTTTAATTGGGTTTGTTTAATTTTTATTTTAATTAACATTATTAATTTTTTTAATTAAAAAAAAGTAACGTGGTGTCATAAAATTAACATCAAAAAGTATTTATTGATATAATTAATTTAATTTAACTCATTTATATGGTTTGAATACAATATTAAACATTCCTATTTATATTATTTTGTATTTATTTTAATTGAGATGGCATGTCGAGTGGCATTAAAATTAATGTTATTAATTATTTGTAATTTAATGAACACTTTAGTTGAACATTATTTAATAAAATAAACTTTGTGTACTTAATTATATATATTTGTGTAAAGATTAAACCCTTTTTATCAGCAAAATAATGCTCTCCATAATTATTTAAAATAATGTAATAATAATTGAACAATTAGGTAAATATTATATTATTACTTTATATAATTATTTAAAATTATATATATTATAATTTGGAAAAGTAAAAAAGAACTGAATAGTGTAGGTGTTTGAAGGTAAATAGGGACTGAATCTGGAAACCTCTTTTGAGAGTTCCCTTCCAGGCTTTCCTTTCCTTTTCTGGAGATGATTTATTGAAAATAATAATATTATTATTAATAAATGAAACTAATTTATTAAAAAAACTCGAGAATTATTTGATTTTATTATTATTAATGTGTCCGATAAAACTCGACGAGATCTTGAGCCCGATAAAACTCGACCCTATAAGAGGTTACGAAAATCGATCTCATTTAGTTTTAAAATTATAACCCATCAAAATTTCATTAAAACTAATTACATTGAGTATTTATTTTCTTCAATAAATAATTATATAATTAAAAAATAATAATTAAAGACTTTCAATTGTGTTATATTGAAGATTCTATTCATGTGAAATTGTAAAGAGATTCTTGGAGTGAAAGGCTAATATAGGACATTGGTTAAGTACATAAGTTGTCATATACATATATATATATATATATGTATATATATATATATGCTTAAGCCCATAAGAGTTTGGGAAGTTCTTTTGCTTTGAGCATGAGCATGTGGTTTGTCATCTCAACAAGATGAAGTCTACATTTGGCAAGACATATCCACATTTAACAACTTCAATTATATATAAATTTTCTCATATTTATCTCCGCAATTTGTTATAAAACTCTAAAAATAGTATATTCTCTCGTTATAATTTTAGAATTTATTCACTCAAATTAGATAAAAAAATTTTTAAATTAATTTATTATCTTATAGTTATCGAATCCGTCGTTAATATAGATTCTGCGAACGATACAGTACAGTTACTTATTTCGATTTTAGAATTCATTTAACCAAACAAAGAACTCTAACTTTGTTGAAACTATTATTATAATTTATTTATTTTGAATAACAAACATTAATCTTAAAGAATTCAAGAACTACCAACATAATTTTCTTCTTTCTTAAAAATACTTTAACATGTCTTTTTTTTTTTTTTATTCACGAAGTCTTTAAACATACTTGAAGTTTCTTACAACAGTAACATTAGGGTTTATGATAGTGGATTACATCATTTTTTATCGATTTCATTATAAGTAAGTACTCAATACTCCTTCCAAAATATTAACCAACATTAGTATATGTCATTAGGACATGTTACGATTTGAGTTGGCTTTGGCAAATTGCAACTTAGTTTGCTTAGAATATATTATCTAAGATAAAGTTCTCGTATCTTTCTTATTTATTTTCGTGGGATTATAAAAACTAAAATAATTCACCAATTAACAATTAACTAAGATCTTGAGTTTCTTCAACAACATTAACTATACATGTTGGTATTTCCTTAGCAAAACTTTGATTTATTTTTCACTTATTTCTTAAACAATTCTAGTTTTGTTTTTCATATTAGTTTTGACATGCATAATTAAAATTTGTTTTGTTGGGCTTATTATATGAGATTTACAAAAAAGTTTGTAACAACCCCGCAAATATCTAAAGAAAATAAATGATAATTAAACTGTAACAGCTCCAGAATTAAAATGAAGATGTATGTATTAAAAATCTTAAATGCGGAAGCATAATAAAAATTTTGATTAACATCCCTTACACAATAACCAAAATCGTACTCAAAACATGAAAGAATAAGCTAATTAAAAGTGATACTCGAAATAAAAACTATAAATTGAGCTATAAAATCCTTAGGCGTCTAACTCGCCGTCTTCCTGCAGAACGGGCTCGGGAACCATGTCTTCCTGATCTATAATGGTTAAGTAAGGAATGAGCTACACTGTAACGCCCAAACAATTAGACATTTTTGTAATTTTCTTATTAAGTGTATTTATTAAGTTTAATTAAAAAAAAAAGAGCGCCACGTCAGCAGGCCCAGTCAGCAGTCCTGGCCAACCAGGACCTGCCGCGTGGCAAGACCACGTCGACCCGGAGACGGGCCACGTTGGCGATCCGCATAGGCGCAATCGGACGGCCCAGATGCATCCCCGCGCGCACGGACGGCCCAGATCAAGCGTGTGCACGGACGACCCAGATGCAATCGCACGAACGGCCCAGATTAAATCAAAAATGGACTGCCCAGATTAAATTAAAATGGACGGTTGAGATCAAAAGGCAAAAGAGTATAAATAGAACTCCCACACCTGACCACAAAAACCCTAGCCGCCTGCCATCGCCGGAGAAGACGAACCAGACGCCGGAGAAGCCGGCCGCCGCCACCCGCCGCCGCACCGGGGAGATTTTCGACCGCCGATCGAGGTAAATTTCATACCCCCGACTTGTTTTTCCACGCTGAATTCCCCTGTGGCCAAATCGGAGCCAAAATCCCAGCCAAACAGCCGAAAAATACGGCCGAAACCCAGCAGCGCCGCCGCACCCCTCCTCGGTTTTTGCCTCCGATGAGGCCCTTCCCGGCCTCCGTTTGATGCAATTTTTATATCACCGTGATCACCATTCTTTTCTCTACAGGTTGATCGGAGCCGAATCACCAAAACACGAACCTCACCGGAGAGCCGCCGCACCCGAGAGCACCGCCGCCGGTAAGCTTCGGTTTTCTGTAATTTTTTCGGCCCCCCGAGGGCCCTAGGGTTGTTTTATCGCAGGGACCGATGCAAGTGTGGCCGAATTCGGCCTAAAACGGCTAACCCGAGGCGAATCGCCGTCGCCGTAGCACGGCGGAGCCGCCGTGCCGGAATTACGATATTGGCCGAAAGGGGCCCTGGGCCTAATTTGGGATTTTTTGGAACACGTGCAGGTACCAGTAGTGCGTTTCAGTTCCCCGAAAAAAAAATTCAGGGAAAATTAGGGACAGCCTGTAGGCGCACTGTGAAGCCGTGTTCGAACCCCGAAACGAGTAAGGACCCCTCACCCTATTTCCTATCACGGTATTAAAGTTCAATAATGATAAAACGGTAATTCTTGAATCAACAAATGTGTGAAATTGCTTAAGGTCGCTAATGGAGCCCGAGTCTAGTGTGTTTGTCGGTTAACTGTTATTTGGCATATTTTACAGTTTTAAATGCAGTATGAGGTCTGATGTTTTTATTTCATTGTTTCGTGTGCATATTTTACTGTTTTATTGATTATGGGTTGAATGTCTGAGAAACCGATGCTGTATGTTGTCTTGTTTGGCATAAATTACTGTTTTGCTTGTTTGTGTGTGAATTGATGATGCTGACTGAGGAAAAGGGGAATGAAAGGTTATGTAAATTATTAATTGTACAATGTGATCAGCCTGACTAGATATCCTGGGAGATGGTGGACGGACCGGGTCCGTAGGGAACCCTACCGGGATTGTGGTCTCTCATACCGGACGGGGTATGGAGACCCTATGTGTTTTGGTGCCCATATCTGACGGGGTATGGGGACGGCCCGTTTCACCCTCATACCAGACGGGGTATTGAGGTTTATAGTTTTGGCGCCCATACCGAACGGGGTATGGGGACGGCCCTGGAATCTGATTACAAGTGTTAAGGGTTCACGGGTAGCGGTACCCCTATGGATCCCCATGGATACTAGTAGGCTGGTAAAAGAGGAAAAATATGTTGTGTAATGATTGAATTACAAAAGGTGTGATAAGTATTATGTTATACAGTTTATATGATTTCATGATGATGATAATGTTACTGCTTTCGTATGTGGTTTTATGATTTTCACCGAGGTAAGTGGATGGTAAAGGTTTTATTATTGATAAAAGAATTTGTGGTAAATTATGCTCCATTGGTCTTTTTGTGTTTTCTACCCACCTTTACCTCCGTGATGGTGAGATATCGTGATGTCTTTACTGGGCTAGTGTAGCTCATTCCTTATTTAATCATTTCAGATCAGGAAGACATTGTTCCCGAGCCCATTCCGCAGGAAGACGACGAA